AAGGAGGGCCCAGGGAGAGCCCAAGGGGAGCCCAGGGGGAGCTCAGGGAGGGCCCGGGGGGAGCCTAAGGAGGGCCCAGGGAGAGCCCAAGGGGAGCCCAGGGGGAGCTCAGGGAGGGCCTGGGGGGAGCCTAAGGAGGGCCCAGGGAGAGCCCAAGGGGAGCCCAAGGGGAGCTCAGGGAGGGCCCGGGGGGAGCCTAAGGAGGGCCCAGGGGGAGCCCAGAGGGAGCCCAGGGAGGGCCCAGGGGGAGCCCAGGGAGAGACCAGGGAGAGCAAGGCATAAGGCACATTCTCCTCTTGGCTCCTCCCCAAGCTAAGGGTCTTGGTTTCACTAGGGGTCAGGCCCTAGGGACTAAGTGGGGATTTTTTGGAGGGACAGGAGCAGCTACAAGGGCCACCCCAAGGGGAGTGGGACACTGGATCAACTGGCTTTCATTCAGCACAGCATTCCCCGCAGGAGTGAGAACTGGCTGGGGCAGGCTCCTTCCACAAGTCCTCCTTGGCTCCAGGCAGGAAGCAGGGCCATCAGAGCTCTCTAGCAGGTAAGAGTGAGGCTTCAGGATTCAGGCCAACACAGGTTCAAATCCCAGGCCCCTGCTACTCCAGCTGGTTGTGAAGATGCTGAGGTCGATCAGCTTCGGTTCAAATCTTGGTTCTGCCCCTGTCTGGCTGTGTGACCCTAGGCAAGTGACTTTATCTCTGGGCCTCGGTCTCTCCCTAATAAAACAGGAATCATTGTAGTACTCACTTCATGGGTTGTTGTGAGGATTGACTGAGTTAATATGCAGAGAATGCTAAGACCTGTGCCTGTAACTATTCTCACTGCTCTTCTTGTATTTTTATTAGGTCTTAATGCCCATCTCTCTCTTGGCTCTGAGGGCTGCTTGCTGGATGCAGGCCAGGAGAGAGCTCAGGCTGGCTTGGTCTTCCCTCCTCTCTCGCCTTCTCTCCTCCAGGGAGCTCATATTGCCCTCCCAGATGCCCTGGGTCCTTGCTGTGAGCTCCTACTCAGCACAGATCCCAGCAGCTGCTGGCTCCCCACTCCCGTCACAGGTACCCAGGAAAGCCAATTCCTGCGCCTGTCCTCCACCGGCTTAGTGCTTTTGCGAGGAAACACACTCAGATGTGCAGCAGGGGCCTAACTCTGGGGATGGCGGCCTGGCTTCCCAGAAGGCTAGGCCGCCATGGGGAGTGGAGGGGGAGACGCGTTACAAAGTGGCCCAGCAGACAGTGGAACGTGGTCCCTGATAAACATCAGCGACAGGCAGATGGAGCTCTGAACTGCTCCTGAACTCTAAACATCTGGAAAAGGGCTCTGCCGGTCCACATCTAAGTGCTCTTTTTCCCCCTCTCTAAGCCCTTTAAGTACTTCTCAGAGGGTGGATGTGTCTACTGCTGCTCCAGCCGCCGTCTGTTTATAGGACTGTTTGCTGTGTGCAGGCGAAAGTACTGTTGCCCTGGCAACAGCTGCCTGACGCAGGGTCTGCTCTGAGCAGCTATATAAATATGGAATATTTGTAGAATACAGTCAGAGTAAAGCACCTAGAGAGTGTGGTGTGCATACCCTTTCACTGTCGCAGGAAATTACGTTTTACAGAAAAGTGGACCTAGAATAAAAAAAATCAGGGGCAGCATTTTAACCACAGCAGTGACAATTCTGCAGGCCTTCAGAGGTGTGCCTGCTATGGGAATGGTCGGATTTTCTCTCTTCCAAGCCGCTAAGTGAAAATCCTAAGTGGCAGTTTCTGTAGAGGCTTTGAAGCCTCCAAGGAAAGAGACAGAGACACAGAAATACTAATGAGAAGGGGGCATCATTGCTGTAAGTGTGCTTTCTGTACACTCAGCCCCTCTTACCCGAGCAAGCACCTACTTGCAGATCCAGAGCCCACAGCGAGTAATGTGGGGCAGGTAAGGTGCACTGACTCCCCTGACAGCGTCTATCCCCGCCCCTCCTCACGGGCCAGCCACCTGTCTAGACCAGGGTCCCCATTCCCTAACTCTTACCATAAAAGGAAGCTTTTCTCTGACTGTTTGGACCTTGTGAGAATGAAAGCTGTTGAATTTTTGGTTGAGGCGCCAGGTCATGAGAGAGTGAGGTGTTTAGGGGCTGGGGAAAGGGAATGTGGGCATCACTCAAGGCCCTGGAGGGAATGCTGCTGGGCAAAGGTGGGCGCAGCGATGTTCGACCTTGGGCCTGGCAGGGCCTCCATCCAGAAAGGCCTCACAGAAGCAGGTCGTTTGGGATGGATGCCCAACAACAAAGCAACATTGAGCACACATAGGTGCCTTGTCCACAAAGCTGTGATTTTTATCAACACACAAAACCCCAAATTACGAGCTAATTTTTCATCTGACTGCTTTACTTCTGATGAACCAGGGAGACAAAACCACTTTTTTTCTGTTCCTGATAAAATCTTTAAAGTCGGGCAAAATGGGCTCCTAGACTATCTCCACATCCACCCACTAGAGGTAAGCAGCTGGAAGTTTCTGAGCACATTTCTTGGAATTACAGAAACCACAGGAAGACCAGGCTGTTGGCCTTATGGACAGTCATCCACTGCCAATAGGTTTTTTCTTTTAAAGGGCAGAAGAGGCAAATTGAACGAAGAAGCCACAGATGATCCGGAAGAGTGTTGGAGGGCAAACAAATTGGTTAGTGTTTGCGAAGGGAAAATGATTTTCACCATCTCAGGGCTGCCACTTACTTGGGGAGTTTATTGCTTATGAGCTATTTGAGGTTCTCTTGCTTTGGATTTGGCTGGGTCAGCTTTTTTTTTTTTTAAGACATGCTTGCCAGAAACGATTTGGTTTTCTTGACTATTCCTTCCTACCAAGAAAACTGCTTTGGATTCTCCCTCTGTTGACACTCGAGTTTCTCCAGGAAGGCAGTGGAAGACACCTGTTTATATTTCCCTTCTGAGACCTCTCCCCCTCCCCGGGGCAGTGGGGCTCTACGTCACATAGCCCCACCTCGGGGGTGGGCCTATGACTCAGGCAGGCCAATAGGAATCTAGGAATCCCTTATTCTCTTGTTTCCAGAGCAGAGCATATGACCAGACCAGGGTCTGTGGGAATCCTATATAGAGAATCTGACTTGTACACCAGGAGAGACACAGCCCCACTGCTTTATAGAATACAAGTGCTAAGACTGTGTATAACTGGAGGGTCATCTTGGTTGCCATGAGAAAGCAGCCTGCTCTTAAATGATGCTAACAGAAGACAAGCTGAGGTGAGACAGAGGGAAAAATAGAGTTTGTTTAAACCCTTAATCCATCCCTACCTGAAGCCAACATATTCCTTGGCCTTTCTAGTAATGTAAGCCAAGATATTCTCTTTTTCACTTAAGCTCCTATGAGTTGGGTTTCTATCATTTGCACCCAAAAGGATTCCAACTACACCAGACAAATGAAGGTCCAGTCCCAGTAGGACCGAGCTGAGCCCCAGGCGTTTTCTCACCTATGTGCTGGGCGCAGGTGTCGCAATATTCTGCATACAAGGACTCGAAGCAGTGGCAACAGTAGGGCCGTCCCTCCTTCATGATGTAGCGCTGGCCGCCCAGCACCGTCTCGCACTCGAAGCAGCAAAAGTGTTTCATGTGCCAGTGCCGCCCCTCAGCTTCGGTGCACTCGTCGGCGAAGATGATCTAGAGACGGGGAAGCCAGACGTTAGGACCAAGCCACGAGAATGCACGTTAAGTGAGGAAAGCTAGGGGGGCCCACACGAAAAGGTGGGGAAACAGGTCCCACCCACAAAGTATTAAACAAAAGTGGATCTGTATATGTTCATTCTATAGCTAAATCAGCTCCTACATTTGGACTTGCCTAAAGTACAATTAAACATGGTTTCTGGTCTGGCCTGTAATTCGTTTAACCACATCTTAAGAAGAGAAAGAATGTTCTACTATGAAGAATATAAAGCAGGACCCAAAACTCACAGTTCATGGGCACTTTGAATGTACATATCTGTTTTATTTGGCTAAGACGCAATATTTTTAAAAAGTGGGAGATGTCATTGAAACACTTGGAATCCTGGTTTCTCTTTTGCACGTATCATATTTGACAACACTCGCTATACATTCCCGCGTGGTCCCAGCAGCTGGAGCTGGAAGAAAGGCTGCTGCTCTCAGGTGAGTGGTGAGTTCTCTAGTTTGGTCATACTCCTTGCCACTCACTGTTGCCTTAACATGAGCCACCTTCATGTGCAATATCTGAGTAGCCCTCAGGAGCATTTGTGTTTTGACCTTTAACACAGAGTTTTAAAAAATTTAAAGCATGGATTTAAAAGCTTACTGCAAACTACAGTAATTAAGGTAGTGTGGTACTGGTATAAGAACAGACATGTAGATCAACAGAACAGAATTGGAAATACAGAAATAAACCCAAACATTTATGGCCAACTGATTATCAACAAGGGTGCCAGGGACATTCGATGGGGAAAGCACAGTGTCTTCAACAAATGGGGCCAGGACAAGTGGAGAGCTGCATGCAAAAGAATGAATCAGAACCCCTATCTCACACCATACACTAAAAGGAACTCAAACGGGATCAAAGACCTAAAGAGCCAAAAACTATAAAATGCTCAGAAGAAAACACAGGTGTAAATTTTCATGACTTTGGGTTAGGCAATGGTTTCTTAGCTACGACACACTAAAAGCGTAAGCAACAAAAGGAAAAATAAATAAATTGGGCTGCATCCATGATAAATACTTCTGTGCTTTAAAGGACATCATCAGGAAAATGAAAATATAACCACAGGATGGGAGAAAATACTTGCAAATCATGTACCTGAGAAGAAACTAGTATCCATAATATATAAGCAACAGTTACAATTCCACAATGAAAAGAAAAATCACCTAATTAAAAAAATGGCCAAGGATTTGAATAGACATTTCTTCAAAAAATAAAAATATACAAATGGCCAATAAACACATGCAAAGATGCTCAACATTATTAGCCATTAAGGATATTCAAATCAAAACCACTTTATACCCACTCAGATGACTATAATAAAAAAAATAGGCAATAAGTGCTGAGAATGGGGAGAAACTAGAATCCTCATTTACTGATAGTGGGAATGTAAAGTGGTGTAGCTGTTCTGGAAGAAAGTTTGGCTTCCCTCAAAAAATTAAACGTAACCCAGCAATTCCATTCCTAGAGAACTGAAAATATATGTCCACACAAAAACTTGTACGTGAATGTTCAAAGCAGCTCTGTTCATAATAGTTAAAAAGTGGGAACAACTTAAATGTCCATCCATTGAAAAATGGCTATACAAAATGTGATATATGCATACAACTGACTATTATTCAGCCATGGAAAGAAATGCAGTGCTGATCCATGCCACAGCATGGATTTAACCTTGGATCCATCACGCTAAGTGAAAGAAGCCAGACACAAAAGGTCATATATTGTGTTACTCCATTTATATGAAATGTCCAGAATATGTAAACCCATAGATTAGTGGTTGCTAGGGGCTGGGTGAAGGGGGAAAGGGAAGTTTCTGCTGATAGAGTTCCTTTTTGGGGGTGATGCAAATGATCTGGGATTAGACAGTAGCGATGTTTGCACAACTTTGTGACTATATTAAAAATCACTCAATGTGGACACCTTAAAAGAGTGACCTTATGCTACCTGAATTGTATCTCAATACAAAAATTTCAAAGCACTTAATTCATCATATTCTATTTGCCGTTAAATAGCATAATATTGTTTCATGAGCACTCATTTGCAGATGTGGAAACTGAGGCATGAAGGTAAGGCGGCTGCCTAGAATCACAGAGCTGGGCTTGAACTCAGTTTCCCACTACCTACTCAGAGGGTGTCTCTAGAACAGGACTATTAGCATTAGAATCCGAAGTGGTTAAGGCTGATCAACTTCCTCCGAGAAGAGTGAATCTCTCACAGGCAGTTTATAAGGAAGAAATGCCCGGGTAATAGGGAACTCTGCCTAAAGGGAGGAGTGTTGTTTATGCAGTCCCATATTTTTGTTTACAGGGTCAGGGAGAAGCAAAAATCCATTCTGCGCAGGAGGAAACCCTGTCCAAGACCCTTCCCCCAGTGATTCCCATAAAAGTGGTCAGCTTTAGAACATTCTCCTTTCTGCTCCAAACTCTTAAATTTTTTTTATGGAGCTATAAGCGCCACACGTTTACAGCTAAACCAGGTGTTCTAGTCTCCCAGTTCACAGATCACACCTGGGTGTGCTTCCTGCCGGTGGGAGAAAGCACCAGGCCTGGGGCTTGTGTTCCTGTCTCTGTCTTAACTCCGGGTAGCAAATTCAAGTTCTTGGAGTGCGGGGCAGGGGTATCCTAATGGAGTATCCATCTGCCTCCTGAATCCTCACCAGAACTTTTGAAAATTGTGGGAAAATTACATAATGCTACCAGTTTTCTTCTCAAACCAATCTGTCCCTTTGAAACTCAGAAAACAGAACTTTTTAAGATGTAAGCAGCAGATCATTATTGATGATTCCTCCCCGGGATTCGGGCTGAAGCCCAAAGCTGCACACCGCACTGTTCTTCTCCCCACCGTCCTGAACGGACCTAGTCCCCGGAGTCTCAGCTGCAGAAACGAACCGCCTTCCCACCTGGGTGTCCACGACACCGCTGCGCTCAGGAAAACGGGCCACCTCCCGGGCCTGCTGGCCACCAGGGATGGGTGGGGCCTCCTCTCAAAGGGTTAATATGACGAGGTGGCATGGCCTGTGGTTTTCCCTGCAGGGAGCCACGGGACGCTGTGTTGGCTGTACCACAGAGGGCAGTGGGCAGGGCTGCGAGCCCGCGAAGGGCACACTGACCTCGTCACAGGCCGCACAGCGCGGCTTCAGGCACTCGGCGTGGTGCCTGCCGCAGTATATCTTCCCATCCTGGTAGAAGTAGATCAGATCCACCAGGAGCTCGTTGCAGACGGTGCATATGAAGCAGGGTGGGTGCCAGCAAACACCGTGGCCGGCGCGTGACGCAAACACGGCGATGTCCCCGCCGTTAATCTGGCCTCCGCACTGCGAGGCAAACGGAAACGTGAGTGTGAACACCGGGAAGCGTGAGTGTGAACACCGGCTCCCATCTCTCGGTACCTTGCACGGTGATAAACGACCACCACCTCCACTAATAGTTGACTGCTGGCACTTATTTTCCGATTAGTCCCTGTGCCACCTGCTTCACACACCCTCCCCCCACTCTCGTAGGGCCACCAAGTAAGATGACGATGGAGTAACTGAGAAAAAGAGGACTCGCAAAGGTGGGAGAGAAAGGAAAACTCTTGCAGGCAGGAGGTGAACTTACACAGAGTGAAGGTCTCATTATCTTTAGATTCTCCAAACTCCATCCAGAGGCACAGCCAAGTTTAACACCGGGAGGGGTAGGCTGTGGGGGCTGAGGGTGGGGAGGGGGGCTGAAAGATGATAAGGGGAGTGGGTTCATTAAAACGTGCCCACCTTTAACTATTTCTCTGAAAGTCTTTCAGGCATGCTTTTAGCCAGCTTCCGCTAACATCTTTTTACAGAATCTTGGTTGAAAAGGCACCCTTCTACGACCAGACTCTGGAACCAGCTTCTTCCCTCTCCCTCCCTTAGCTTCTCACTCAGGTTCCAAAGGTGCTTTCCCGTCCAGAAAGGAGCAAGGCAGAATCTCTGACAACCCACGCTTATGGCTGGGGTTGGGGTAAAACAAACAGGGCCTAAGGGTCTTTGGGGGAGGAGGCAGTGGGGGAGGCAGTGGGTCCAGGGGCAGGCTCTCTGCTGACCAGGGCATTGACCTTGAGGTTCACAGCCTGAGGGTCCAGTACTACAGCCCTACATGAGAGGCTGATGTCTTGGGGCAATGTCTAAAGAGTAGAAAAGCTACCTCCAGACATGGACCTCATATGGGTTGAAATGCTTTCCAGAAAAAGTACAGATCTCATGGAACAGTCTCTGGGAGCTCGTGCATGTGGGACCAGACAAAAGAAAGACATTATGGTACAGAAAGCACTACCCCTTCCTCTTGTAACATCAGTAGAACTGAGGCACATTAAAATTTTTAAGAGTTTACTCCAAATAATGAATGAAATTGTGCAGCACCAAACTGAAGGCAGGCGGAGTGCTCCCCCGGCAGGAGCTCAGGGGGAGGTCCTCATAGAGAAGAGGGGGAAGCAAAGAAAGGAATCGTTTGATTGGAGCGACTTAGGCAGTTGCCTTATTTGGGAAAGCCTAACTGGCCTTTGTGATTGGTTGCTCCTAAGTTTCATTTTCTTGGATTCCAGTACCCTGATTCTGGCTGAGGTTTTGGTTTGCTTATGTAGGCTACAGAACAAAGCATTAGGCCTCTTTGTTTAATTATTTTAACAGTACAGAATCCCATTTAATCTCAACATAATTCTATGATGTAGGCATTTGTTATCCCCATTTTGCAGATAACAAAACTAAGAAAAGTGACACAGCCAAGGTCATCTGGGAGAAATATGAACCAAACATGTCTTTCTGCCTCTGTGCTCTTGTCACTATTCTATATTACTTCTGACATCTGCCCACAAAATGCCCAACCTTCCTTCTGCCTTAGGTGAGCCCAGCTGGGCTGGCTACAGTAGAAGGACCTGAGAGTGGCAGAGGTCCTGAATTGAGCACGCCTAACCTCACATCTTAACCCAGATGACCTGCATCTCAAGGGTGGGTCTTAAGGATGAAGAAAGACCCCACTGCCAAAAATCTGGTCTTTTGGATCCCCTATTAAGTAGTATCTTCATTCCATCCACCTGAACCTTCTCACTCCATCCCTATGAAATGTCAAAAAAACCCCAAAAGCCCCCAAATCGCATCTAGTCCCCTCAGGTACTATCTCGCTTTCTCTTTACTGATCTGGCTCACATATATTCAGCACCTGAATGGGTCCCTTTAGAGCTTAAGTAGTTAGCTGGGCCTGTACAAAAAGCAGCAGGGCTAAGTAAGTGCGGAAAATGACATTCAGCGCCGGAAGGCTTTGGGCACCTGAGAGGAGGGGCAGGGTGAACACAGACAGGCTGGATTCCCACCCCTCTGCTTTCTTTTTCTTTTTTTATTGATCTTATAGAGAG